TTCCTATTGCGAAGTCAGCATCCATCCATTTGTTCTGTGGCTTGCTGCTTAATCAAACCCAAGTGAAGTAATAAACACAAAATATCAAGAGAAGATTTGATTTCCCAGAAGGTTTTTTTCTAACATAAGTTTATTTTTCTTACCTATTTGTTCTTCTGTTAGTTGCCAATAAGATTAAAATTCATACTTCCTGAAAATTATGATACCAATCAAGAAGCAATTTTAATTTTAGTCAATACTTCAAGGAGGCTATTTAACCATAGTGACTGTGATCATTTACTGAATGTTTTGCTCTGCTATCTGTTTTTCCAACAATCTTTTCTCTTCCTTTCCCTTTATCTCTTTCTTTTTACAAAACAGAGGTCATAATATAAGGAAGATTTTGAAATGAGTACTTGATGTTGGTTTATTAAGCTTTTAATGCCAGGAAGCCAGGCAAGAATTTGTTATCTAGAAAAGTTGGACTGCAAGTATGTAATTTAATTAGCAATATTAATAATAAATTATTTAATCTGTGATAGCCATCATGGAGAGTGGTTAATGTGGAATGTGGTTAATGCAATTCTTTGAGTTTTTCCAAGCTTCTAAAGTTGTGGGTAGGAGTAAAAGCAAGTTGTTTGAGACTATATATGTGTGTGTATATATATATATCTATATATATATATATATAGATATAGATATATATATATCTCAAGGACTTACTGCTTTTTATTCAATATGTCATTAGTCTTTGATTTAGAAATAGATTGGAACCTCAAGTGATCTCAGATACACTTCGAACTGCCAGCCACAACCAATGCTGTGTCTTGGCTCACAGAGCCAGAATAAATCATATGAAAACAACTCCAAAGAGAAGAAGTATTAGCCATTAGCCAAGATGTGAGACTTGGAAATGATGTGAACTCAAGAAACATGGACAGTCCCTGAAGCAGCATATCTTAGCCTGACATTGAAAACACCTGATTTCAGTTCATGGGCTACTGAATACACACCGCTTTTCTGTGACAAACTCTCCCAATCAGGATAACAGTGCTCACTTATACTACAGAGAAGTTAATAAAACTTGTCACAGGGAAAAAAACCATTTGTCAGTTGCCTTACATGAACCATCAAGTGTGCCTTTACTCAGCTTAATCCAATTCATTAGACATTAATTGAGCACTTATTCTAGGCAATATTGTATAGATGAGAAGACGGAGACACAGAGAATTCAAGAGAATTACAGAGGCTATTCAACAATTTAGGATCAAGATTCATGCTCAAGATTATGGCTCCAGAATTCACACTCACAATCACTTCATTGTCTCTGGAGAAATAGTTACAATACAATGGTCTCAGTGTGGTTCTAGAAAACTTAAGAGGTATAGAGTAGCATAGAGGAGAGAGTGACAGATTTAATCAAATTGGGGAGGAGGTGTGCAGTAGGTTCTCAGGGAAAATAACATTAAATTCAGTAAACCCATAAGGTCTTTAAAATTATTCTAATTTTGTTGTTTAAATGAAAAGATGTTACTCTGAAAATTTTAAGCTCACACAGCTTATATATAACAGGACCAAGCTTCATGTCTCAGATGGTCTGAGTTCCACTCTTTTGTGCTACTTCTTTTGGTTTAAGCCTTAACTCAATTATTTCTCATGAGGAAAGGACCAGGCTGAGGTAATAAGCATTAAAGGTAACTGGGGAAATAAAACGAAGAGGATTGTTGGGAGAATTAAAGTTAAAATTCAGCAGCAGTGTAGAAGCAAACGACTTTTAGAATAATTCAGAATAAGATACAAAAGCATAAAACTAAGCTGTTTTCAAGCAACCTACTGCATAGACATAGCATTAGAGAAAGCAAAAGATAGGATAAAGCTGGTGGTGGCCCAGCGTAGAAGGGAGTGAAATAAGGGAATAAGGGAAAGCATGTGAGTCTCTGAAGGAGAAAAAAATCCACACAATCTTTGAAACAACAATTTCATGTCAGTATAAGATACACAGATGACAAGAAGTAATTCCCTCATAAGAGGCCATATGGACATCAATAATTCATCGGGAACTATGTCGAAAGGTATGTTTACTGCAATTGAAGTTGCTGGCAAGAAATAATTTGATTTCACCTTTTGGGATGGAATGATACATGACAAATGTTACAATAAGTATATAAGAAAGGCACAAAATTGCTGGGAAGCATTTGCAGAGCAACTGTTAAACAGCCACAGACTGAAAATAGCATATTCAGCTTAAGCCCAACAGGTAAAGAACATTGCTATATGACTGCAGAAGTGGCACTCTAACATTATAGACCCTCCCAACGAGGTATTGTAGATTTGGGCCTACATAAAGAAATTGGGTGTGAGGAGGAATTGTACAGAAAATTTTTTTCATTGTTGTTTTTTTTTGTTTTTTTAGTGGCCAAAACATAGTCTCAAAAGTAAACTGCAGAGTGTACCAGTAGAAAACAATGAGCTTCCAGCCTCACTGCCAGGTGCTCTGAGGCAGTTGCAGAGCTTCATGTGACAGGGTGTCCCATTGGCTGCAGTAACGGCGCTCGATGGGCGGGGTCTGTGCTTCTAAAGAACCAAAGTACAGGGCGCTGCTGGAGAAGAAAATGAGACTAATTTGAATATGAAATGGAAAGTTTTAAAATTGCAGGGGATTACAGAGACAAGAAATAAAAATCAGTAAGGATTCTTTCAGCACATAGCCTAAAATGCTAGGAAATCTCATGCAAGAGGAAGAGAGGAAATTCCAAATAGATAAAACTCTTATTCATGAGAAAGCAAAAGAAAAACTGACCTCAGAATAATGAAAGAATAGTGTTTAAACGATGTGATGCTAAAATTGTACTGAAAATGGGAACACCCAAAGGTGACGGTGGCAATACAGAATAGATGAGAAACCATGCCCCTTCCTCAGATGTTTGTGACTGACTGTTGAAGGTCCCTGAAAACAGACAGAGCTGTTGTGAGATAATGTCTGAGACTTGAGCTCATTCGGGAGGAGAGTTGCCCCTACCATAACTGCTCTCAGCATGCTTAGGTATGACTTGGAGCTTCATGCATTTGATAAAGATTGAATGTTCTGCCTCCTCTGGGAATCAGATCAAAATACGGAAAACAGGGTAAGACAAGTATCCTAACCTGTATCCTTCTCTATACTTGACCTTGAAGAAATAGAAACACAAAGGTCTAAAAGAAAAAGAAAAGAAGACAAATCAAACTAGAAAAGTTGTCATTTGAAATATAAATTGCTTTTGTATTTGCTAATGTAAGTGAAATTGGAAGGAAATTGTGTCTTTGGCTAATGAAAATGCCTCCTAGACAATTAATTATGAATTAATTTAAAAGTTGGCATAATGAGAAGCAGTATCGACAAAAGTGAAGTTTCAGATATTATATGATTGGTATAGGTGCTAAAAATATCTTGATAAATGTTGCATGAACTAAGAAAATTCCAGTAAGTTCTTAAAAGTTGGCAATTTTATAACACCATACTGCCATTTATTCCAGATACCATAAAATATTTCTAAATTCCTAAATATTTTCCTCTCAACATGTTGCTGAGGCAAGTAGCCATTGGAATAGGGAACAACCCCTCTCACTAAATCTGATGTCTACATTTAGTTGGACTATACATACAGGTGTAGGTAGAGTCTAGAGTATTATATTATTGAATGAAATACACACCTTATTGCTACTATGGATGGCGATGGAGGCAAATTTTCCTTAGCAGGTAGAGTAAGGAGGGAGAGAATTGTGGTGTTCCATATCACCCCTTCCCCATCAGCAAAACTGTATTTAGAGACCACTTCAGACTTCCTCTTAATCATGCTCATCTCCAGATAAAATAATCTATTATTGGAGGTCATAAAAATTCATTTCTCCATTTCAGCCATCATGTGAAGAGTATGTACTTAGGGTCAACTTTTTGTATAGAATGATTTTATGCTAATAATGCGTTAAATAAGATGCCTTCTTGGTCCTTGCATTAGGCTAGGTCTGAAATAGGAAGAGATAAGGGTGATTTTAAGTAAGATTTACAGGAATATATTGTTATATTAGAAAGGAAGAGGAGTGAGCCAAGTCTTTTAAGGTAGACAGTCTTGAGTTTTAAAGGATTTGATTAGCTGGGTGACCTTGGATAAATTATTTCATCTGTCTAACCCTCCACTTTTTCCTTTTAGTTCCTGCCATTCCGCCTGATGGAACATTCTATTGAATCCCCTCTGTGGTCAAGCTCTGAGATCCCTCAGGGCTAGTGGGAGGAGTAGAGGAGCTGGCACATAATAGGAATTCAATAAACAGCTACTTTTACCATTGAGATTATTATAGTGAAGTAATAGAGATCACAGTTTTAGGTTATGTAGTTTTAGGGTTATGAAGACAGTTTTAAAATCGTTGAGGAAAGAAAGTTTGGCATTTGTGCAGTGAGATATGGGTAGAATACTAAGGAATTACTTATAAGAGTCTGGTAGAGGAAAATTACACATTAGCTGTGGGAAAGTTTCAGAAATGAGCAGTCCCTGATCTCCTTTTTTTAATTTTTTATTTATTTTATTTATTTTTTTAATATTTATTTTTTATTATTATTAGTTTCAGTTGTACAAAAAAATGCAATAGCATGGAGTCAATGGAATTGTAATAGATAAGTATGATATCAGGAGTGGGAGGGCAGTAGATGGGGGAGGGGGGTTGTTACTTTGTGAGGGGGAAAAAGGATAACTATTGTATTGTTCTGTATACCTGAAACTAACAATAAAAAAATAAATTTAAAAAAAAGTCCCTGATCTTCTTTTATCTTTGTCCTATTGTTGCCACAGTATCTGAGGTAGGGAGTGATAGGAACAACAAACAAACCTGGAAATAACCTTGTTTACCTCATTTTCGATGAATATTCACTTTGAGAAAGTCCTCTTGGCCTGTGCAGCTGGCATTTTAATTAATTAGAAAATGGGACAGGCAAGGTGGGAGGTCAGCTCATTTATTGTATTGACTTTCCACCTGACATGTTCACATAGCCTTCCAGACGGTCTCCCAAACCCTCACTTGGGAAATGTCTCATGACCCCACTACATTCCCCCAGATAGATAATGTTGGCTTGGAGGAAGCCGAACAGCTGGTAGGAGGAAATCAGTAAACTCTGGTTTCCCTTCTTTAGGTTCAACCCAGAAAGAGATATGAGAAGGAAACATGATTTTCTTAAGCCTTTGCTTTGTCATGATTATTTAAAATGTTTCTATGTTGTAGGATTCGGGACATACAGCCTTAAGTAACTGGCTCACAGCTTGCGCCACGTGTGCCCCATCATGCAAGTGTGTAGAGCAGCTGCCAAATGACGGGTCACCAGATGGAATTTTCATGCGACCTGGTGTTGATTTTGCTGTACATTATGTAAAGGAAGCAGCAAGCCATATAGCATAACTTAAAAGTGTTACCCAAGAAAGCTCGAGCTGTCTCAGTATACGGGGGATCATTCCCTGAGCAATATGTGATGCTGAAGGACAGTCAAGTAAATTAAAACTCCGTGGGACCCTGGGATATTTTATATCTTTTAGAAAAGATACAAATGTGCCTCTGAAATTCTATCAAGCAAAATGTGTCAAAACCAGAAAAAAAATTGAGAATCACTGATCTATTTCGTAGACATTCTGATGCAGCAGCACAGATATATAAGAACACTTATGAATCAGCCAGAAATTAGTTTATTAAAAACAGTAAGACCAACTTGGCTAGTGTCTTCTCATCTAAAACTCTTGTAGATTTTTGCTTTGTTTATAGAAATACTTAATCTTCAAAACATGTACAGAGCAGATTTCATTATGATCTCCATTTTGTAGAATAGGAAACCAGTTTATAGTAAGGGACTTGCTCAGTGACATGGTTAATAAGTTGCATAGTTGAAATGTAAGCATGATTGTGTCCAGAACTTGCTTAACCACTAAAATCTGTTGCCTTAGTTGCTCCTCTGCCTGAGATATTTTTCATGGGAATAGGTAATCAATAAATAGACTGCTTCATGGTGAGAATATTTCAAGAAATGCTAAATTCTTCTTTAGTAATGGAAAATAGTTATTATGCATTACTTCATAAGATTTTGAGTTCACTTACTCTTTTTCATATTATGTGAAAATACCCAGATTACAATATAACCTAGTTCATTTAGGGGTAATTGATATTAGGAAATATTATTTTATAAACAAAAGCAATATTGTTTTTTGTATCTAAAACATTTCACGCAGTCTGTGTTGGAAAAGACAATGTTATTATATTAGGTCTATTTTAAAGATGGCAAAACTGAGTCACAGCAAAGCTAACTGAGTGTCCTAATTCTACTTAGCCATTCAACTTAGGCTCACTGTTCTGTTAAAGAGGTATATTATAACCATTTTAAATTATTGGACAAAAAGGTATTAACAATATAGCCCTTTACTTTTCCTGCATATTAACAAATATTGCTTTGCTAATTAAACCTGGTGCCTGGTGTAGGGTAGATGCTCGATAAATGCTTATTGTTTTAATGAAGGGGAAAATGTATATATTAAATGAATTTGAATAATAAATATTCCTATTTATAAGTATTTAAATGCTTCTCTGCTTTCTTTCCATGTAATAACCCTGGTTTATGTCAAAAGACCTGACTGAATAGGGAGAATCTAACTGAAACAAACTATTTGTTTACTCTTCTATTTCTCTGTTGTGGGGGTAGAATTAGCTATAGCACCTTTCATTACTCTCTACTCTAAACATTCCTCTCTCAAAAGTACAAATATGTTTCTAAACAGCCCACCCAAGCAACAAGAAACTTCTAATATATTGGATAAGAACCAGGAGGATGAGTTCTAGTGTGCCAAATATCTCCTACTTTTCATCAGCTTGGCCAGTATGGACAGTGTAAGTTACAATATCTCATTTCATCCCTGGATTCTGAGCTTGAAAGTAAGATTGCCAGCAATGAACTGATAATAGCAAACGTCCAAGGCAACAAACACTTCTGTGGTCTCAGACATGTTGTTGAACATAATGAACTTTCCCAGTAATGTTATGTGACCCTGAGTCTAATATACTTTAAACTGTAGTTCTCGTGCTATGTCTTATTGATATTCTGGTCAGCCTTTAGTGGTGCTGACTTTTCATTGTGGGGGCTTCATCTTGAGAACATAGCTCTCTAAAAGCCGAAACACTTATGTACAGTCTGCTCATTGGTAACCTAGAAGCTTGAAAGAATAAACATGGCTCCCTAATTGTTTAACATAAAAGAGAGACACTTAGGGGGAGGGGATCTGCTTCATTCTAAACCATTTCCAGGGATGTCAAGGTCAAATTCTCCAAACTATATATTAGGAAATGCTGTTTCAATGTGAAATGCCTCACAAGCAGTTACTTCTATAATGATGGGGGAGTCCATCTTGGATTATTTCCAATAAATTATTAGTGGTTTTGAAGGTAACATTTAGATTGCCATTAAATATGTTTAGCTATGTTCCCTTTTATTCAAATTGTAAACAAGTGATACAAAATGCTTATTGGCTAACTCCATCATGTTGCAGATGAATGACAAGTTCTTCATGAAAGTGGAGACTAAGTTATGGCTGCCATAACAGCATACCGTTTCCTTTGGTATGGCAGTTGTTACAGTTCATGACAGACGTTAGAGCATGAGATAGATATTCAGGCATTCTGCTACTGTTTGGAACTTTGCTCTGCCTCTTACTAGTTATTTGCCGAAAAGCAGTTCTCCTATCTGTGTCTCAGTTTTCTCATCTGTAAGATGGCAATGCTAACAATAGAACCTGCTTTATAAAATTATTGTGAGGATTAAATGAGTTAATTAATTAAAAGTACTTTAACTAGTGGCTGGCAATGACACTCAAATGTTACATATAATTGCTATCCTTTGTTTTATTTACGGGTTTTTCTGTAGGCTGTAAGCTCCATAAAAACCATCTCTTTTGGCCCTTTACCCACAGTAACGGGCTCAGGTCTAGATGTGGCAAGTGATAAATCATTATTTATTAAATGAATAAAAAAATGTGCAAGTCTTATTATAATGAAAGTAAAGCTGGTGACCAATTATAACCGCTAATGGCATTTGATAACTTCTTTCATTTTTCTCTGCCATTTTCCTTATGCAGATGTTCTTTATTTTAGGCCTTTTCTCCTAAGGGTTTTTTTTTTCCCCAAAGACATTTTTGCACAATATGTTCTCCCCAAACAAGGGAAGGAATCTAGTTAGACATTAATTCATTCAGTAAATAATTTTCAGTACCCAGTATGTATATATATAAACTAGCACTGAAGAGCATTTAAAGAAGCATCTCAGGTATTCAGTTTGTCCAAAGATCTAACGTATTTGTGGTCATAAACAGTGAATTAGAGATATTGCTTCTTGCTGCCTCTTTTCAGTATTCTAAGTACAGTTTGACTGTCTCTGGATTGTACTTCAGTGCCACAGGGAAAATCAATAGTAATAACACAAGATGCTGAGAGTAAGAGCTGGAGCTAAGTTTCTCTATTTTCTAAACTAATTTTCTAAGTCTAAGACTTTCCTGTGAACTGGGAAGATATTGAACTATCCACGATTCAGAGTGATGCTGGCAAAAGTATACAAACGTGATATAGAAAAAGATGGCTGAAGATATTTTAGTCATTTTAATGGAATACTTAATTTAGTGAGTATGTGTAGATTTGGCATCCTAACATTTTCTTTAATTTTCTAGCCAAAGTAAAGTGTTGATTTGGCAGTTTTCTCCTTCAAATGTTAATAGTTCTAAAATAAATTTTAAAAATGGGTAAGAAAGAATCCAAGCTTGTTGCCTTCACATGCCAAATAAACATCGTATTTTAACCATTAATAACAAATTGTATTTGATCTTCACTAGCATGGCATATGCCTGGTCTGAATATCATAAAATTTTCTGAGTTGTATTCAATTTTATAACTAATGCTTTTGAAAATCTTATAGAGTAATATTGTTAATTAAATGACTTACCTGCAAGCTTAGTCAACACAGTCATTTTTCATGGGTGCAATTTTTAAATATGACTAGTACTGGAGTTTTTATATGCAACCTGAAGCTTACACATTGGAATATTCAAGGTGGGATTGTTTTACAGAATACAATATTCAGTTTGTTTCAACTAGAACAATAAAATTTATCATATTACAAATTAAAGAGTATATGCATCAAAAAGTCAAATTAGTTTTGTGGAAATCATCAGGACTTGGTGCATGTAATCAAGACTGATATGTATAGTCGAGGGCTGAGAGTCCTTGAATTCGAAGAAATGCTGTTTCATGCAGGATGGGCTAGCTGCAGTAAGAGATGACACTAAATTCTCTGTGGCTTAAAACCACACACATATACCCTGCACGTTGAATGCAGTTCAGCCTGAGGGCCTCTGCTCATCAAAGTCACTAAGGAGCCCAGGCTGGCAGGCTCTATCACAACTCATATTTCCACACTTCCTGCCGCAGGCAGAAAGAAATGGGGTGAATCACGCACTGGTTCTTAAGCTTCCTGACAGAGAAAGCCACATGGCCAAGCCTAACTCAGAGATGATAGAGAAGTGTAATCCTACCTTATGATGTGCCCAAAAGGAGAAGCATCAAGACATTTGAATAGTCCTTATGACAGAAATTAGCCCTAAAAGTGCTCTTGTCACTGTGCTCAGTAAGTGCTACTGTTTCCATCCTTTTGACCGTGTACTCACTCCATTGTTACTTATAAAATCAAGGTATTTCTGTGATATGACCCATTCTTCTACCTTGTTAACTATTGGATTAATTTAAGGAGCTGGATGGCAACTCTTAAGAATCCAGTGTTTTTCAAACTAATGAAGTAGCTGAGCGCCTCTAATTTCTTTGTTTCATGGATTTTCTGACCTTATATCAATAAGATCACATGAATTCCCACATTGAGTCAGACCCATGGTCATTCCAGCCAAAAATCTTATCCTTGGCAAAAAATGAGTCACTTCTATTATTTCCCCATTTTTCTTAAAGAAAACTGATAGAGCTATTATAAGAATTGCTATTTTAAAAATAGATGATTCTATTTAATATGCATAAAAATGAGTATGCACTTACCAAAAATCAAATATTTCTTTCTTGAATTTCAACAAAACCCAATGAAACACACAATGTATTAATATTCTGTTTTAAAGAGGTATTTCTATAACAATTTTGAAAGTTATAATAGAAAAAATATAGTAGGTGATATTGAACAAAAGTAAAACAATGAAACTTTAATGATTCTGTTTATCTGGTTTTGTAATTCCAGGCCAAAGAAATGATAGATTTTATTTTTTAGATCCACAACATTTTAAAGCACAGAATCCCTCTTAGAGTCAATCATTTTACAAATGAGAAAACTGAGACCTAAGAAATATTCTGGTAAACAGGATAGACCAAACCCCTGCCTT